GCCCTGATCCAGCTGCATGGCAGTGGCCCTGGATGGGTATGGATCTGGCTGCACAGTGCTTAATATTTTGGCAGCAGGGTAGGACTGGCAGTATTAATTACCTGCTTCCCCAACGCCAAATTTCCTGACTCGTGGAGATCCCTGCAAGCCAGATGACGTGGCTCCACAGTCCAGATTTGGCCCGTGGGTCAGAGATTGAGCACCCCTGATCTGAAAAGTCTTTTTTTTTTATCAGAGAGAGTCTGTTCTGGTAGGGTGTCTCTTTGGTACATCCATGTTGTATTTTATCCCCTTTTTCATTCCTATCCATGCCTTTGATTTTCTTCAAAATATGTCCTAAAATCTTGCACGTTTCTTTGATCAGACTAATATGCCTGTATTAGTCCAGACCACTTTTTACCCATTTGTTAAATGTATGCACTGTGTTCTCTATTCTTCAACTAGATAGATTTGTTAACAGTACTCACTATTGGACCTGGGATTTTATGGGCCATTTCTTTCAGAATTCTTGGATGGAGAATTACCCAGGGAATCATTCCCCTTCCCAGAGTATCACATCTTTCTATCATGGATATTCTACCATTGCAAATTACAAATAGAGGTCATCAGTAAAAAGCAGCAGTGATTTTTACATGGTACTGTTGCACTTTGGAATAAAACACAGAGAAAGCTTAGTTTCTCCAAAGCATTTCAAAGTGACTGGGTGTCTAGATTAAGCTGGCATCATACAAAATGTTTCCACCAATTCAGTGAATTAGGTCAGAACAGATATTGCATTCTTGGAAAGTTAACTGAGTGGAGCAGTTCTCAGTGTGTCTGTGGGAGGAATGTAGCTCTCTTCCTTTGTTAAGTGGCAGCAGCTTTCTCAGAATAATAGCTATTTCCCAGAATTGCAGTACTTTTTAAGCACTCTTATTGTGTTTCAGGTGTGCATTAGAGAGGCTGATCCATGATGCTGCAATATTACTGTAATTTTCTCAAAACATGTAAATGAAAGCTCACTGTGAGAGTGTGCAAACCAAATGGCTTTGTTTTTTCAGTCACAACCTGAAGTGCTCTTTTTGTACCATGGCTTCCCTATGGTGTAAAACAGGGGTGTCAATCTCATCTGGCCCTGTGGGCTGGATGAGTGGTGCAGGGCTGGTCCGCAGGCGGGATCAGGCCAATGGACCCCCACCCACCCACATGCCTAATCCAGAACACGTGGCACCTGCCTGGGCTGGTCTGAGACACTGGCCTGAGCAGGTGCTGCATGCAGTGCAGCCTGGCACACGGCCCCAGCAAGCACCATGGGTGGCACATGTCACAGGCACTGAGCATAGGGCTGGTGTAGTGCAACAAGGTCTGGATTATGGGGCTGCACAGGCAACATCCAGCCTGAGGGCCATATGTTTGACACCCATGGTGTAAAAGAACCTAAATATCTTGGCTTTTCCATGTTACTTGTTGGTTGAGACCAGGCCACAAGTGGAGGTGGTTTACTACACACAGATTGGCTGTAGCTGTCAATGCTATCCCAGGTTTTGATAATCACTGATTGTGATGAAATTTAGCATATGGGGTCTAAAACAACAGTTGGTGTTGCATAAGAGATGTCAGACACTCAGTATAATACTGTAAATTTTGGTACCTATAAGTAATCCTTGTGTTAATAGAGGTAGGATCAGACTCAGAGTGATGTCACAGGTTAGCTTTAAATTGTCGTAAAGGCACTTACAACAGGAGCATTCTCCCATTAAAGGTTGTTAACCAATGCTAAGTACCCTTTAAATGTTGTAAAATGATGCCGGTCAAGCAAGGGTTCTTCAATCCATTTTACCCAGGTCGTTCCAGGGTATCGTTAGTCTACTCTGGGGAGATAAAATGCTCTATTTTCATTTCTCCAGCATCCCAAGATGCACCATCCCCAGCCCTTCCCACTCCTTTGCTCCTTGGGCAAACTTTCAATCCTGAACTCTACTCTTCCAGGGGGTGGTGCTGGCCTCAAGCCAACACCCACTCCTGCTCCCCAGGGTGTGCGATCCCAGCACACCTTGACCGCTCTGAGCACCCAGGTACAGCTCATCGGTTTGCTGCTTGCCAAGGAAGGGATTTGAATTCCCTCTGCATTCTGCTGGTTGGCTGCTGATACAAGGGGAGTGGTTAAAAATCTAATTAACTGCTAATGAGCATAGGCAATTGACATTCAGCCCTAGGCAACCATCTCCATCCTCACCTATCCTGCCTCTCCCCAGTGCTACTGGCCACTGTGCTATGACTCAGCTTCCCCTTCCCCATGGTATTCAATTGAACTGAACTGCTATTCATTTGAAATGGCACTGCCAGCACCTCTCTTACACAACCCATGCAGTGAGCCTGCTGGGTCTCAGCTCTACCCTGAAGTGATAAATAAGCTAACTCTCCCCTGACCCAATCCCAATTCAGTGAAACACATGCAAAAATTTGGTCCTTTTTATTTTAATTCTTTATTTCACTCCTTTCTTTCTACTTCTTCCTTTTTGCCTGTTTACTTCATATAGTTTTTTTTCAAGATTTTTTCCCCTTCCACTCATAGCTCCAGCTGGCTCCTGCTTGCTGCACAGTGAGGGAAGCCACAGCCCCTATGGTGGTTTCTCCACCTGCAAACTACAGGCCAACCTACCCCAGAGAAGGGATAAGTTTTGGCTCCTGTCCACATCCCGGCTCACCAGGCCGTCTAGTGCCAAGTCACAGTTGTGCAGGTCTGAGATGGCATTAAGTCTTAACCCAGGGGTAGGCAACTGTTTGGTTGGAGGTCCACTAAAGGAGTTTTGGTGAGCTGTCATGGGCTGGGCCAGCACCCTGTCCCCACCCTACCCCACCACGCTGGGTCAGCATGCTGCCCACAACAGCTCACCAAAACTCCCTAAATGGCTCTGTTCTGTGTTTGCCTGGGTGGGTAGTGGCATCCAAGACTGGGATGGGTGGACAGGACCAAGGTAAGGTTGGGATTTCTGGGTGGTGACAGTGCAGGGCTGGGGCCCAGGGCAAAGCCGTGATCTTCTCCCCACATGCCTCTGCGATGGGCACCAGTTCTGCAGGCAGGGGTGTGTGGGGAGCAGATTGCAGGGCCCCTGCACCATGCCATCACCACCCAGCAATGCCAGGGTCTCCACGGAGACTGGTCAGGAACAGCACGGGCAGGCAGGGTGTGCAGCTAGGCGGATTGGATGGGGTTGCAGGTAGGCGGGGCGCAGTGTCTGGGAGCAGGACAGGTGGGCAGATCTGGGGCCAGGGCCAGGGCCAGGGCCAGGGCCAGGACCAGAGCCAAAGCTGGGATGTGCAAATGGTAGCTCATGGTTCTGCCCTGGGCCTCAGTCCTGCGTGGTCATCACCCCATGATCCTGATCCTAGCAGGAGCCTCGCCAAGCATGCCCTGCCCATGCAGGTCTTGGGTTGGTCTTCATGGAGGCCCCACCCACTGCTCTGTCTGGGCAGGGGTGCCTGTGCAGTGGGGTTGGGTCTGGTGTGGTGGCTGCTGCAGCCAGAAGGAGATGCCACTGCCAGGAAGTGAGTCAGGCCACTGCAGTGCCCCTGCTCACCTTGTACCTGGGGTCCGTGGGACTGGCTGCATGGGCCATGGCCTGTGCTGCCCCCCATGCCTGGGCCAGGCATGTCTGAGGGACCCACCACAGGCCGGACAAAATCCCTTGGTGGGTCAGATCCAGCCTGCAGGCTATGTTTTGCCCACCCCTGCCTTAACTTGTGACTGCTCCAAAACTGTTCTTACTTTATGACAGCATAACATGCCACAGATTTAGAATGGTTTAAAGGTAACCTGTAACAGCAACCTCACACTTGGACTTCCCAATAAACTGTTAATAGCCATACCATTTTGCATTCCCCAGACCTAGTAATAACCTAGGAAACAGAAAGAAACTAAGAAAAGTGCAACTTTTGAGCCAGAATCCACCCTTAGTTGTCCCCACATAAGTGTAAAAGTGAGTAAAAATTGGCTCCTGGTTACAGAGCAAATAAGAAATAAAGGGTGTGACATCTCAGAGGCGTAACTAGCAATTTTGGTGCCCTGGACAAAGATGCTGGAAAGCAGGGGTGGACGTTGTGCCAAACACCGGAGGGGAGTGGGGGACTGCTAAACAGCATGGAGGCACAGGGGTACTAATTGCCAGAAAGTTTTACCTGACTGAGCTGATGTCTACCACTAGTTATGCTACTGTAACATCCTGTCCCTTGATGCTTTCAAAACAGTTCTTTCTGGGCCTCATGCATTGTGTTTTGATGTGTCTGGCTAGAATTTTTGCCAGCCTGAACTAACTTAAGCAACTTTAAATCTGGACAGTTCTTTAATCTGTACTTTGCCTTTCGTTGATGTGGGGTGGAGGGAGGTGAGGAGGCAATCCTTTCTGCAATATGCTAATGGATTGTTTCTGACGTGCATCATTGCATTTACTGTTTATTGCTCAGGTGATCAGGGTTGTATTGTTGAAAACGTTTGAGTTGAGAATGCTTTTCAAACATGCCGTTTCATAATTTTTGGCTTATCTTATTGTATACGGAGTGCATGAATACGATTTGCAGTGGGAGGTTCATTCCAACAATAGATGCGTAAAATTATATGATTGTTCCCATTGATCTGTGTTCTAGCACAATTTCCCCTGTCTGATATTATAATTCATACTTTTGACCACTTGAAAATTAGCCAAAAGTCTATAGTGCCATTGTCTTTTTCAGCTCTGCATGTATCTACTTCTGAATTCATTTTTTCTCTTATTGCATGTTGCCTTATTATTGTTGCTACGTAGCATGAGAAATTCACATGAAAGAAAAAAGAAAATGAACTGGGGCCTATGGCTAGTCAGGAAGCCAGCCCTATGAACAAAAGAGCTCTCTGGTAACTTATGAACTATATAATGGCAACTTTACCTGTACATTTAACCTATAAAATCTTAGAGCAAGCCTGTATGCTTAATGCACAATATATGACAAAGTTTTTGGTGACTTTGTTTTCCTTTCTTTCTCAGTGGAAACCATATTTTCCAGGGTCTGGAGGCTGGAATAGCAGTGAATGAGAATGGAAGAGGCCAAATAATAGGTATGAAAACACCTTTGTTGTACGTAATAGACAATACTTCTTAATGAACTTTGGGCTTTTAAGTGTTATTTCAGTGCATCTCTGTTGCCAAGGTGTTTCTGTCATAATCTCAGTGGGTGCAGTTCTTAGCTGATATAATTTCACAGGAGTCCGCCTTATAACTGGCTCTCAGTAAAGCAGGCTGCGAGCTGGTGCATTCTATACCATAGCCGAAATTGTCCTTCTCCTCTTGTCTCATACACTGTTGTAGGGAATCAGCGTATAATGTGAACTGTATTTTACTCCCATAATTTTTGGTTAGTAGTGGGGGCCAGTTTACTTAATGTTATTCTCCTTCATTGGCATCACAGAGTTGTTTCCCCAGAAGTCACATATATGAGTGAAGGAAGGACATTATTTATGTAGAACTGGTGATAAAATTAAGTGCAATTAAGCTGTTGAATACATCGCTGCCCTCCATTTGGAATTACAGGCAGAAGCCTGGAGCTGTGCTTAGTTATACTAATTGAATTTTTTCTGTCGTTACATAGGACTAGACTCTCATTGTCACCCTATTTTCCACCAAAACAGTAAATACAGGCTCTCTGACATTCATTTAAACAAATACATATTTTTCCAAAAAAGAGTAATTGCCATCAAGAAGGTGAATTATTAATATACACACAGCCTCAAAGGATGATTGTAGTGTGGCACATATAACAATTAAGTTCATTCTTTTTTTGTCATAAGCCTTTCTGAAGAATAATAATCTGTCCTACTTTTGCTTTTCTTGTGTTTTCTTTTTCTGTGCCATGTCTATGTCATGCTAGGCCAGCACCCTTATGTGATGCAGTAAAGAATAGTATGAGTGAATAGAATAGTATTCATGAGAGAAATTCTGTTACCAGCTGTGTAAATGACTTTTTTTTATATTTATGCATGGTTTGCAACTCTGTTACTCTTGCAGTGTGGAGAGGTAAGTATATATGTGTATATTGTCATGTGCAGTAAGCTACACATTGGCCAGGCAGGTACACAGCTATGTATGTACACTCGGAGCACACACCCAAGTCACAAAATTGTTGCCAGACAAAAATAGAAAGAGGGAGGCATCCTGTTTGTGATCCAGCTTAAATAGTTGAATAGTTCAGGCACTTCCCAGCAAGTGGAAAACCTGGTTTTAGGCCCCAGTTATCCACCAGGGGGCTTGAATATGCATCTTTTTTACCTTTGCATGCTAATCACCAAGCCATAGGTCAAGCACTATTCAGTCTGTCGCCATCCTTCCTTTTAATGCTGGACTTAAAGGCAACCAAGACAGGGCCAGGAGGAAAAGAACAAGCTGGAGGGTGTGTGGTTCAGTGAGATGGCTGCTACTTAGGGAGGGAGCAAGTTCTGCACCCTTGCTCCTACTAGGAAAAAAAAGCTCCCCTACTGCAGTGCTAAATAACAGGTGCAGTGGCTTAGCTTCAAAAGTAGCACTGGAGAATGCTTGACCTGCAAAGTCAAGGAGTTGTAGGTTTAGGCCTCCTCTGGGCAAGGAGTGCCTATAACCTGGAGTTTTTGGTTCATGGGTGAGTGCTCTAGCTACTCAGCTGTCAAGCTCTTCTCATTTTTTTTCCAGCACTTATACTCAAGTAAGTGTATATGTAGCTGTGTATGTACCTGGCTAGTTCCTGCTCTCCTGTATATCTTCAGTTTATGAATACAGACTTACACATAAGTCCATGCTGTAGTGATACAGAACTGCAAACTGTGCCTGGGTGCCAAAAGTACTACTTGCATGACTGGGTAAGTGCCATATAGGTGTACAAAGGTTATAGAATTCCTCCTTTAGTATCCAGTCTTGCAACCCCAGTAAAAATGTCACTGCCTTCACCTGCAGCAAATTTAGGCCATCTGTATAGGATAAAAGAAGAGAGGAAATTGCTAGCCTAGAACCAATGGTGTTGGACGTCCAGGCCTCCCTTAAGTCAGTCAGAATTATGCCACTGATTTTAGGGGAGCCAGGACTTCACCAGATTGGTTCTGCATCACTCTCCCAGCTTTGCCACTGACTTGGGTCAGTGCAGAGTGATGTTTGCCTGTACCATTTACACATGTTCCCAAGGGTGGTCTGGTTTTCCTTGTGCTCCTGTTCCAAACAAGCATTTTGCACTGCTTTTCAGGAAAAGCCTAGAGTTCTCCAGCACTAAATGTGACTGTAAAATGCCTGCTTTTTTAGCAACTAAACCCCCTGGTGTATGGGCTGTCCTTGTGAATAGGATGCAGCCACTGTCTTTTTAGCGATCTTCTCTGGTAATGTTCCCTCTGTTCTGTCAGAAAACGTCATTCGGGAGAATCAGTGGGGCGGGGCAGACATCCGGCGTGGCGGCGACCCCGTGCTGAGGAACAACCTGATCTGCTGCGGTTACTCAGATGGAGTGGTGGTGGGAGAGCGTGGGAAGGGGCTTATCGAGGGAAACACCATTTATGGTAAGAAGCTAAAAATGTGGGCAATGTGATGGAATCTTCTCCCCTTCCTTCCCTGAGCTTCCCTGTCCCCTGCTGCTTTTGGCTTAGTCAGCCATCCACCGTTGGCTTCTGTGCTAAGCAAAGCCAGTGGAGGCTGGTTAGTAATTAATTCTAGTTCCTTGCTTCTCTGCCTCAGTACAGGGAAAAGCAGCTGGGAGGCTACTCTAACTGGTGCCAACTGGCTATGGAGATTGTGGCCCAGCTGGAGGTAGCTACTCGTCTACTGCTGTCTATCTCTGACCCAGCCCCCATACAAGGTTGGGGGTCTCCAATGGAGGAGATATAGGAGTCAGCTCTAGAATTTGTATTCCTGGACTCTTCGTCACTGCATTCAGGAGATTGTAACCAGTCTTCTCTCCCTTTGTGGAGCCTTGGGACCCTGAAGTCAAACATGAAGTTGGTAGAGAATCCACTCCAATCTATATAGTTTCATAGTTTCTAGGGTCGGAAGGGACCTGGGCAGATCATCTAGTCCGCCCCCCTGCCATGGCAGGAAAGAGTACTGGGGGTCAAACGACCCCAGCAAGATGGTCATCTAACTTCCTCTTAAAAACCCCCAGGGTGGGAGCCTGCACCACCTCACTTGGAAGCTGGTTCCAGACCCTAGCCACCCTGACCATGAAGTAGCGCCTCCTGATGTCCAACTTAAACCTTCCCTCCGCCAGCTTGTGATGGTTATTCCTGATCACTCCTGGCGGCGCCCGGGGGAACAGGGACTCCCCCAGTGCCTGTTGATCCCCCCTGACTAGTTTATAGCAGGCCACAAGATCCCCCCTCAGCCTTCTCTTCTGGAGGCTGAACAGGTTCAGGTCCCGTAACCTTTCCTCATAGGACCTTCCCTGCTGTCCCTTGATCATGCGAGTGGCCCTCCTCTGGCCCCTCTCGATGCTGTCCACATCCCTCTTAAAGTGCGGCTCCCAGAACTGGACGCAGTACTCCAGCTGCGGCCTGACCAGTGCCGCATAGAGGGGGAGGATCACCTCCTTGGTCCTGCTTGAAATGCATCTGTGGATGCACGACAAGGTATAGTTGGCCTTCCTAGCCGCCTCCCCACACTGCCGAGCCATGTTCATCTTGGAGTCAATAATGACTCCAAGATCCTTTTTCACCTCCGTGCTGACAAGAGGGGAGTTCCCCAGCCTGTACGTATGGTGCCGGTTGTTCCTTCCCAGGTGCATCACCTTGCACTTGTCTGTGTTGAACCCCATCCTGTTCTCCTCCGCCCATCCTTGTAACCTGTCAAGGTCCGACTGTAGCCTGTTGCTCCCTTCTATTGTGCCCACATCCCCCCACATCTTGGTATCATCAGCAAATTTGAACAGGGTGCTTTGCACCCCCTCATCCAAATCACTGATGAAGCTGTTGAACAGGGCGGGCCCGAGGACCGAGCCCTGCGGGACCCCACTGCCCACGTCCTTCCAGGCCGAGAACGACCCATCCACTACCACCCTCTGGGTGCGGCTCTCTAGCCAGTTGGCGACCCATTGGACTGTGTGGGTGTCTACGCCACAGTCCCCCAGTTTCCTAATGAGAACGGGGTGAGAGACAGTGTCGAAAGCCTTCCGGAAGTCCAGGAAGACTATATGATTGTGTGTCCATGTGATAGAGATAGGAGTGCACTGAAGAAGATTCAAAACAGCCCCCAATGGCTGTATCTTCGCTTACACTGATGCTATGACACTCAGCTGTCAAGCTCTGGGAATGTTTGGGGAAAGACCCTGACTGCATAGAGCTGAGAGCGGTAGGACAGACGGCCAGCAGTGGCCTCATTCAGTCCAGGCCAGGGGATGTCTTGCAACAAGTGTCTTTAGAGATCTGTAACATGACATACAAATTCATAGGAGAGGAAGGGAAGCTCAGCTGAGTACAGCATCCCCAACCCTGTCTGAAAGAAAAGGGAGGGAGTGTCATAAGAGCTGGCTTGTGAGGCTTGTTTATACAGAAACATCACAGCAGTGACTGAGGGTATGCAGCCATCATGCCCCAGCATGTCTGGGGAGAGGAACACCCGTGCCCACCTACTCCTGCTTGCATGCACCAAACCTAGAAGAGAGGCTTGTCTGGTGGCGCCCCCTGAAGTAACCCAGATACTGAGGTTTAAAAGGCAGTTATGGGGGACACTGCCAGGATGGCCTCACTGCTCCGTGTCTGAGTGCTGTGCTTGGGGCAGTGCAGGGACCTCCCTCCTACATGGAATAGATGCACTCTGAAACCTTACTCCAGCAGATAAAACTGAAAATGGCTCATGGGCCACTTTGCTGAAGACCCTTCTGTACCTTGCAAGGAAAGGCGCAGAATGTACATGTCCCATATTCACATCTGTGGGAGCCCCACTGTTGATTTCCATGGCTTTGGATCAGTCCTTAAGGAAGAGGCAAGCAAGGATACAGCAGAGTGAAAGATGCATCTAAGAGGAGGAAAGATTCCAAGTCCCTAGGGAGAGGGCAGTGAAAGGGAGGGAAGTGCCTGCTCTGCAGGAGGGAAAGGGGGCACTGGTCTGGGTTTTGGCACATAAGATGAAGCAAAGGTAGTAGTCAGATGTGCGTGTAGTGTGGGGTTGCTTTCATTAGGTCTCTCAGTGGAATTAGCCTTCTGTACAATGTGTGTGTGTGTGTGTGTGTGTGTGTGTGTGTGTGAGAGAGAGAGATAGAGAGAGAACATCATGCTGGGCTTGACCTGATAGCTGTCTCAGATCAGAGTTTATATGACAGTGCAGAAAAGCTGTAGGGATAAAGGACTGGCTTAGACCTGGGCTAATCCCCTGGTTTATGTGCAAGCAGAATTTGGACTCCAGCCTGTCAGCTTTCTTCCTAATGCATTTTAACATGTGACTGTTTTAGCCACCAAGCACTGTGCCTGATAGGATCCTGCAAGAGCCCTAAATCCTGAGCCTGCTACAGTGTGAGAGCTCTCAACTCCTGGGGAATCCAAGGGGTGGAGGCCACTCTGTCCAGGAGAAGCCTGAACTGAGGGGGCCCTGTGGCCTTTGGCTGCCCAGTGCTCTCCCTAGGTAGGCATGGGGGTGCTGGGCCAGCTCACACCCAACACTGGCATTGCATGAGACCCAGGTCTCACAGGTGCTGGCAAAAGTTAAGCAACACCAAAGGTGCTTCACCTGCACATATGCTAAGTATCTCTTAACAAGAGACACTTTGGGTCTGACCTCTGCAATGTGGGAGCAGCAGCCATCATTCAGCTTTGTTCCTTGTGCACTTTGGCCCACTGCCAATTTCAGAACCCATCCGCCTCTCAGCTCATCAGCTTCCTGCATGCTCCCCTTGTTTTTCCAGGGTTGCGTATTGTGCTGAGGGCCCATACAGCAGACTGTGAGGAAGATGCAGAGACCTTGGCAGCAACATAGTTTCATCTTTCTCTGCAGCTGTAGCCAGCCTGGACCTGGGCCCTGGCTTGGGGCAAACTTGGGGAACCTGTGGGGCCATCCTCACTGTCATTATCTGCCCCCAGCTCTCTCAGACCCTTTCTGGGCCAGTTCTCCAGTGGGGAATTGAGACACATCATGATCTAGTGGCTTACCCAGAGAGCTGGAAACAAAACCCAGATCTCCACAGCCCCAACACAATGCATTAACCACAAGGCTAAGGTCATGTGTGAAGAAGATTCCAAATTCGCTGCCTCCAGCTCCCAAATACTTAGGTTAGAAATTCAGGTTCTGATTTGGTTATCTTACTCCCTCTAAAATTAGACGCTGCAAAGAAATGTCAGACTGCGTTGGTGGTCAGGTCTGCAAGAGGAGGTACCCTTTTTGTTGTGGGTCTCAACATCCAGAGTTGGTCCCAAATCCTTCTTTTACTGAACTGTTGTGGCTCCTGACTCTGGCCATGAGGCATCTAGAACATCAGCAGGGGCCCTTTGCACCACATGGCATTGTCCTGAGTCTTGGCAGTGCCCCTCCAGGGCCACTGGATCATCCCTTGTAAAAGCAACCATGGTGAGGCAGTGCCTACGCCTTCCTCACAATCTGCCGATGTGCATGTTCCATGTCACAGCCCACTGTAGTGAGGAGAAGGCAGGGATTGTGTGCTGGAGCCGGGGTCTTAAATATCTGTGCTGGTTGGTTGCCTTTGGAAGCCTTCCTTTCAGGATGTGAGTCTGTTCAAAGGTAGCAGCAAATCACCAAGTGAGAGAAGCACCACTGAGGTGCGTCCTGTCCCACCTTGGCTGCATCCCTGCAAAGTTATTACAGCAGTATATTTTATTGTGTCTTTCTACTGCCATTGGTTTCGTATTACTTGATTTACAAAGGGTCTTTCCCCCCCCGCCCCCCCCCCGTTAGCTTGACAGTGGATAACGAGGGGAACGGAGGGGAGCAATGTCTCAGCAGGGGGTGATTGTGCAGGGTGGGGCCAGGAATAAATCACCTGTGTCTTCAGAACATGTAAGGAAGCCCTTGCATAAAGGCCAGTGGGAGACATATTTGCATGCACATAACTGTGTGGAAGGAACAGAATTGGTGCAAGGCAGGAGATGGCATGGATGACCCTAGGTGGGAGCAGTTGGGTAGCTCTACTTTCCTAGGGCAGACCCCAGCCAGGGCAATGCCCAGAGATCATTAGGATGTGGATTACAGAACACTTGTGACAGCACATCTGCACTAAGGCAAAAAGGAGTTATCGCTGTTGGTATTAGGAGAGCAGTTGAAAGCCCTAGATGACCCTGTCAGGCTAGACAGTGAGAGCACTGAAATTAGCAGGAGCAGACACCAAACTCTCTTCTAAAAATCTGGCCTCAAAGATGCACATGTTGCAGGGAAGCCCCAGGGCCTGAACACATGTGGCAAAGAAGTGGTAGCAGAAGGAGAGGGCCTTAATTCGGCTCTAGGGATAGCCCATGGCTGCCTACGGTCATCCCACCTAGTGGCAGGAAGTCCCGGCATGGGAGCCAGCACTTCTGAGTTCCAGTCCAGTTGGCATCAGCTTCCCCAGAATCCTCCTTGGCTCTGTAGTACAAGTGTACATGGTAAGCTCCTCAGGACAGGGACAGTAGGTCTATGCAGTGCCCAGTGCAATGGGGCCCCAGTCTTGACTGGGGTGTGTGAGTGGTGCTGCAGTGCAGGTCATGACCAAGGGGTTGCTTTCATTCTGCAGGCAACAAGGGCTGTGGTGTGTGGATAATGGCATCCAGCCTCCCTCACATCACCAACAACCAAATTGGGCACAACAGCATCTATGGGGTGGCGGTGTTTTGCCGCAAAGATGATGCCAATGACTATCTTGCCAACCAAGGAGGCAATGAGAGCTTCAACGATGAGGGGGAAGCTGCCATCTGGGAGAATGACCTGGACAGTGAGGATGAGCGCTTTGCCTCCCGACGGCTCATCAGTGTGGCACTGGTAGAGTCGAACAGCATCAACCACAATGGAGGTGAGTATGGTGGGCCCTGATGCTAGACCTATCTCTACTATGCTAGAGGCACAGACCAGAGGCCAAATCAGTGCTCATGACATTCCAGCACAGCAAAGATGTGATGCAATCCATTGCTTTTTACCCCAGTTCGTGTACTAGGTCAGACTTGTTCATGGTCCTTCACAAAACAGTCCAGGTAAGATGGAAGAGAGTGATGGCAAATGGCTGTAGCAAGAGCAGTGGCTGTACATCAAGAGCAGTGAAGCACTGAACATCATTGCCAATGCCATCCATGCCAACCAGGACAGTGGGGTCACAGTCTTTCAGAGCACCCAGCTCATTCAAATAGCGAACAACAGCATCTCCTGCAACAGCCTCGGGGACATGGTCTACCATGCAGAAAAGACAAGTTTAAACTCCAAAGTGGAATGGCTGGATGTTGCCCAATTCTGCAGCCATTTTGTAACATCTACCAGGCTTTGTCTCTGGACACATACCCATTCCAACCACTCTGTGTCAAGCTCTAATACTCCCCTGAAAGGGTGGAGTGTGGGAAAGGAGGGGGTGGCTGGTACACCTTTTGCTCTGGCTCCAGATGTCAGCTGAATAACTTACGAAGGGCATTAGAAGTGGGTAAAAGCACTACCTTGCAGCTGCTCTGTGTTGCAGTGTAGTTGGGGAGGCCAGTGGGTTTGCCAGACTTTGAGGAGCACAAAAAAGACAAACCTGATCACCATTTAGACTGAGTCTAGAGGGCATCATTGTGTCTGTTCAAACCCAGAACTTAAGATCAGGCTGCTCCTCCATAGCACATAGGATGTAGACTTCAGTGGGAGTTACAAGCCTACCCTGAGGGGAGAACAGAGCCAAGGGCACAAAGCAATGAAAAGGGAAGAGAAGGAAAAGGCCATACAGTTCCTTATGAACCTTAACCCCTGAGTTTAATACATTTCTAGTTGCCAGTGAGGATGCCCAGAGGAAGGACTTCAAGTCCCAAGCCCTTCTCTTCCCTTCTGTGACTCTTGCTTCCTTCACAGCAAGGAGGGAAAATTCAAAGGTTATAACTGTAAGAGCATTAACATGTCACCAGTGTCGGTGTGTTTTATTCCCCTGCTGCAGCCGTATCTTTCACACACATAATGCCTCCCAGCTCAGAAGATCAGACAGCAGATGCTTCTTGGGCTAAATCTGGCTTGGTATTATACTAGGACAGGGGTGTTCAACACCTGGTCCACAGGCCAGATCCAGCTTGTGGTGCCATGTCATCCACAGGGCTCCCCACAGGTCTAGAAATTTGGTGGCGAGGCAGCAGTGGCATCACTCCCCTGCTGCCAGATTTCTGGCTCCATGGAGAGCTTCAGGCCCTGAATGCTGAATAGGGTGCCCTCTCCCAATGCACAGGGTTGAGTGGGGGCAGTGCTGGGCCCCAGCACCCAATCCCTGTGTGGGGGACCTGGAGGGGATGGTTCTGGGCCCTCAAGATCAAATTCTGGGGTGCATGGGGTGGAGAGGGGGTGATGCTGATCCTTCAGAATCAATCCTGGTACATAGGGCAGGGAGGGGGCAGTGCCAGGCTCCAAATTCTGATCTGGCCCGGCCTGACCACTCATGTGGCCCGTGGGGCCAAAATGTTGAGCACCCATGCACTAGGGCAGTGGCACTGGTGTTATTAGCATCGGAGCAGTATAGATAGAGCAGAATTCGATCTTTCTTTCTTCCATCTGTGGGGTGAGTTGCCAGGTGGCTGCACCAGCTTATAGTGGCACTGCCCAACAGTTTTCTGTGCCAAGAAGCATCATGGCCAAGTGAACAGAGCACTAGTGTGGGATGTGAGAGAGCTGGGTTCTGTTCCCAGCTCTGCTACTGTCATGTTGGATGAGTTGGGGCATGTCACTTCACTTCTGTGTGCCTCCATCTGCAACAGGGGAATAATGAAGCTGAGTTCTACAATCTACACATCAAAGTGAGAGCTGAGTAGGGAGGAGTGAGAAAAATACTGTGTGTGGTCAAAGGCTCCCGGGTACACTTTCCACCATAATGAAGCTCCTACAGTGGTCACAGGATCTTGAAAAGTGCCACCTACTGACCCAGCCCTGCATATGCAAAGACTGACCTGGCCCAGGCTTCCTAGGCCTGTGAGGTATGGGTAGGGTAGAGCTACCGGCTCTGTTGGGACGTATTAGGGCAACTGTGAAGCCCTTCCTTGCTCATTCAGGCTGTCCTGAGATGAAGGTAGCATTGCCTGGTTGAAGCCCAGATTTGGCTGCCAGGCAAATCTTTCTGAAAGCCATGGACTTGGTTTGTACCTTTTCTTGCAGCTGCTGGGCTGTACATCAAGAGCAGTGAAGCACTGAACATCATTGCCAATGCCATCCATGCCAACCAGGACAGTGGGGTCACGGTCTTTCAGAGCACCCAGCTCACTCGAATAGCAAACAACAGCATCTCCTGCAACAGCCTCGGGGGCATCCTTGTGGAAACAGAGTGCAGGGTGGAGCTCCGTGGTAATGGGATATATGACAACAGCAGCCATGGCATCGCCTGCAAGGGGGACGGGGCCATTGTTGAGAATGATATCATAGGCAATCTTGGGTGTGGCCTCAAGTTGTTACAGACAGCGAACATGAAGGTATGTGTTCAAACCAATGTGGGGGATGGGCTGCTCACATCACAGGGCATGTGTACACGTGGCAAATGTCTGCTCTGATTCATGCGTTGGAGCAGACTCCGTTAATCACTTAAGTGCGTTAATTAGCATGCTCCAGCAGCCTCCGTGTTATATGTATTTGTCATCCTTGTGCTTCAAAATGGCATAAGGGCACTTTAACTAAAGCTTGTGGAATGAGCTTAAGTTAAAGCATCCTCACCACCGTTTTGAATACACATGAAGCTGAGGGCGCTGTAATTAGAGTGGCTCTTGGAGCCGCTGTAATGAAAGCCCTCCCTCCTCACCTCCACCCCAGAGCACATGTAAACACACCCACAGATGCCAACTGAAATCATGCCAGAGCAGGGAAAACAGCAAGTGTCCCTCTCACAGGAATGGCCTGAAGTTGGCAGGTTCTTCTGATGTCCCTTGTGACATCACTGAGATAATCCAAGAGAAACTACAGCATTACACATTTCCCATCCCTTTGGTTGTGATTTATCAAACCTACAGCTGGCATTGCTCATGCCCGGTATACATACCAGTTAAGAGACATGCACCTAGGAGATTGTTTCCTGAATCTCTGGGCTGCCATATGGTTGTAATAGTACCACAGATCCCAAACTGCCTGAGAAATAGGGTGGCCGTCATAGAGGACGGTCCGGTTGTCCTCTGTCCTTTATTGGTACGAAACCTGACGCTATTGGTTTCATACCAATAGAAGACAGAGTAGCAGAAAACCGGAGTGTCCTGTATGATGGCCAACCTACTCAGAAAGGAAGTCAGGCCTGTTATTCTCAGGTGGGAACTGAGGCACAGAACAAGGATGTGGCTCACCAGAGCACTTAGCAGACCAGTGGTGAAACTAAGTCTCCTGAGTCCCAGGTCAGTGCTCTGTCTACTAGGCCACACTTAGTAATTAGTAACTCATTTGTCATTCCAATACTGACTTTTATATTAATGCAAAAAAATTGCTGGCTTTTCCCCCTAGGACCTAGTACTGTGATAATTCCTAAGATGTGACATACAGTTATTTCTTCAGTAAGAAGCCCTTTTTCCATGATAGAGCAGTTCCAGTCAATAGTGACTGAGGTAGGCAGCACTTCGCTTGTCTTTGGCAAAGACCAGCTTCCTTCTCACATGCCTGCTTTCATTAGCTAGTGCAGGGGTCGGCAATGTTTTTAAAAATACCCGCAGCCTCACCTTGCAAGATGTTGGTGCACCAGGGGTGGACAGCAGGGGAGCTAAGAGGGACCCGATCCCTGTGGCAGCGCTCCCCAGCCCCTTCCCCACCATCTAACCTGAGGCCATGCTCTGGCACCTGTGCCAGGGGTTGCCTACCCCTGAGCTAGTGTTTCCACTGCTTTTAGTGTGTCTAACCCAGGGAGCCGCCAGCCCTACCAGAAGCCAAATGCAGCCCAAGGAGCTCTAATATATTGTCAGCGTTTATCTTTGCCTTCACTACATTTGTATGCCCGAAGGCAGCTGCAGAGCTTAACATACATTGTTCTGTGTCAGCCTGGACAACCAAGCTACATGGACCACAGTGTAGCATTGCACGATGAGACTTCCAGCCACTGCAGCCTGCATCATTGTATTAAAGCAGAAGGAGCAGCATTTGCTTTGACCTTTTTTTGCAAATTAGATGCAAAGGCCCTGTCAGCTCCTGGACAGTTGCCAGTGTTACCTTGAGGATCAAAGTAATCTTCACTCTCATTATTGATGGGATATAGCCATCATGCACTTCACAAGGCCCCAGAATAAGGATGCAGCAAGCCCCACAGCTAGGCTATTGAGGTGGTTACTGTCTTGGTTCTATCCATGAGCAAAAAAACCCTTTTGAAAAACATTCTGATCAGGAAAACAGTTAAATAAGTTAAATAAGACTTATGGAAACCCCAGTGCCAGGACGCCCCAGCCCCCTGCTTGCCCTGAAGGAGCTGATGAGAATTCAGACAGCAGAGGTCCAGTGGGAGACACTTATGGAAACCCCAATCCTACTTGCTGCTGCTGTTTCTCATTCATGCACTGGCTGGGATCCTTTACCCATCCAAGAGGAGCCTGAGAACAAGTAAACAGTTTATCTAGTCATGGGCAAGAAGAGTGACAGCAATGGGAGCTACTGCTCACAGACTCAAGCTGAGTCCTGAGACTGATTTCTGAAGCAGGCAAGGGGTGCTAGAGCACAGACAGGCTTGGGTCTGTTGAGAGTGGAGATGTGTAAACCTACCTTCAAACTGCTTTAATAAACAAGAAGCAACAGTGGGTGTGTGGAAGGAGTGACTGCCTTGTGTAGCGCTGAACTGTTTAGCTCAGGCCCAAGTCTATGCTAGAGCTTTCTGCTGGCATAGCAATGTCAAGGTATTACAGCTCCAAGCTGATGCAACTAGGCCAGGAAACACCCTGGTGCAGAAGCAGTTACATCAGCCAAAAAGGGCTCCTATTGGCTTTGGCTCCAGTTGTTTGGGGAGGTGGCTTAACTATACAGGCAGAAAAACTCCCACTGCCATACTCCCATGTCTCCAACAGGGGACACTACTGTCCCAGTTGCACTGCACCTGCACAGCTACAGCACCAGGCTCCATAATGTAGACAAGACCAAAAGATTTAAAATAGTGCAGCTTTGCTTAGCTGGACTGGTTCTGTTGGGGCCATTGACCTGCAGTTCATCCACTCATCTAAGCCCCTTTGTCATTTTTGCCCTATCCAGGAAGATCTTGTGTTTAGGCTTAATGTCAAGTACATGCTTTAGTGCTTTGCTGAATCAAAGCTGCAGATGCTAAACAATCATGAGGATTTTATTTCACGCTGACAATAGGCCAGAGACAATGTGCCAGAGACAACTGCAGCAGTTAGCTCATTCAAATATGCCCCAGGCCACACAGTCCACTGTCCTTGTTCTCTCATTGGGATTTTCTTTTCCCCAGGTAACCAAGAACAGGATCCAGGCATTGCAGGATTATGGGATCTTGATACTCGATCAAACCAAGGGTCTGGTGCAGGATAACCTGATTTACCAAGGAAAGTCCAAAAAAAACATTTTGCAGCAGGTGTCAAATGCCGAAGATTGCATTGTCCAGAACAACAAGCTTCTCACCTTCAAGAGAAAGTAAGCCACTGACATAGTGGTTAGAATGAGCCTACAGCCCAAAGCAACCCCTCCCCGTTCTGAGGACCCCCAGAAAACCATAAGCCTGTTTCATTTCCCTGTGTTTTATCTTGTTGAGGCAGCTATTTGCAGACATGAAACATCTCAGAGATTGTAAAATCAACTTGCTGTACTAATTGGAGCAAGGAACCTTTGCAAAGAAGTCTGGGTAATGGAAAGAGAGGCAAATCTAATTGGTTCTCTTGCCTGGGAAGCCATCCTCTCCATTGGGGATAGGACAGTTAAATGAGAGGCCTGGCATTCTTGTTCCCATGCTAGGACACCAGGTACTCTTCCACTGGCTCTTCCCGAGAGATATCTGATCATACGGAGGGCTAGCACATTCCCAGACGTAGGTACTACTTTGTTTTCTGTGGTCTGTGAGTGAGATCTGCAGAGGGGGAGATGCACATTTCAGAGCAAGGGTGTTAGAGAGCGGTCAAGAAACAGGGGGTGGAACTGTTGGTTCCCTGTGGGTGCCATGTTGTGAGCAGGGAGTTCCTTAAATGCTAGGAACAAGTTTCTCCATTGCCAATCCCAGGAGCTGTATCACTTTTGTTACCTTGAATGAGCAAAAGTCTCTGGTCACATGAGCAAAAGTATGTGCATTTCTCACCCTGGCAGTTTCCAGGGGTCTCTCTTGAGTATCTGTGTATGCCAGCAGTAGCACTACCATGGGATTGCTAGATCAGCTTGACATGCAGGGAATTGTGAGAAAAATCTTGTGTCTGAGAAACCCCAGGACATACTGCCACGGTGGGAAGTGGCTGAGAAACTGATGTTAGATGGCTCTCATTCTGATACTTGGGCGGGTTGTTAGGGAGATGTCCAACATCTCTCCCAACTATACAGTTGATCCAATGAAAGATAACACCAAAAAAAATTGCTTCTCCCATATTTCCTAGACCATCACGGTCGTAACACCACTACAGTTCACTTGGAAAGGCTGAGGCTTTTGACAGAATCCTCCAAAAGGGCTCTGGAGTTCCAGATTGCTCTCCTGACCATGATCTGAAACAGGCCAGTTCATGATGGTATCATGTAACCTTTGGAGAGAGATTACAGGCTGAGGTATCTGATGGTATGTCTCTGATGGGCTACAGCACAAAGCCCTAAGAGAGATCAAGTACTACAGGTATTTCACTCAGAGCTGCTACTTGTCAGACCAGTGAGCCTGTGTGAATTAGAGTCCTCAGAGGCTGGGTCTGTTGCTTTCCATTGTTTCAAGGCAAAACAAAACAAATATTTGGTGGAAGGTGGAAATTTGATGGGATTGGGACTATTCCAGGTATTTGTTCGTTACGATCTCCTGAGGCCAAATCTACACCGCAAGGTTTCGTTGGCAGAGCTCCTTTTGCAAGTATATGTAGTGGATCCCCCTGAGGGCTTTTGGCCAGTACAGCTATATTGGGAAGTCCTTTGTAGTGTAAATAGGATCTCAGTCAACAGGTACTATTGAACCCTCAGCAGCTTTTATTTCATCACAGTACAGACCTGTTCTTCCATGTAACAAGTTTAGCCTGGGTTACTGTAGATTGATTCCCTGCCACAGCTTACCTTCCCCTATGCCATCCCATCCCTGATGCTGGCGTGCACTGGTAAGAGCTGTCCAAAAATAGCAAACAAAATTGCAAAAACAGTTTTGAATTCACATCCCTCAACTTCCCTTTTTGTCAAAGTTTGAAACACCATGGAAATCTCAACATTCCTTGCATTTTTGTCTTGCTGCTTAAATGGAATGAAGTATAGATGGTGAAATTTGCATACACCTGATCAAGTAGTTTTCTAAGTTTGTGCTTTAGTTGGAATGAACATTTTTGACAATTTTTCTCTAGAAATAGTCAAATTCATAAGAGAACTGTGTCCCAGGGGGGATGGGGTGGTAAATGGAGGTCTGCCACTGGCTGAACACGGAACTCTATATTTCCTGACTGCATCCCAGGTAATGAACACTTGTGGGATGTTTTTCTGTCCCCCCCAGGTCTGACATTGCATGGACCCTGGAGAACCCTCCAGCACGACCTCACATTGAAGTAACAGCCTGCGGAGTCTCAACAGCAACAAACAGCCAACGCGTTACAACCATGACAACTAGGATTGCGGCAAGGGTGGACGGGGGGTGCCACAACAACGGGAGCATCTTCTGTACTATTCTTTGATTCCCACAAAGGTTTTCTCAAGTGTCTTTTTAGAGACCAGGCCAGGAAGCTTATCCTGTGGGAGGAGGAAGAGGATTTTGCTCTGTGCTCTTCATTTTAACCTCCTTGTTTTTATCACTCAACAATTTGGCTGCTGATGGAGCTTATAGTGCATTCTTATCAGAAACAGCAGGGAGACCTTGCCATCAGCTCTTCTTTTCTATTTGACCCATGAGCTCACTCCTGTGGCAATTGCCAGCAGATCAGTTGCCCTGGATAAAGCTCAGTAATGCCAATGTGTAGCTGTTTGATGGGTCTGGCCTACTGTCTCCTCAGTAGCCTCATGATGAAGCTTGGAGTAAACTGTTTTTTTCCCCCAAAGAACCGGAACTGTTCCCCAGCACAGAAAGAAAGACTTGATCATGAGGACAAGAATGAAAGCTGTTTGCTGTTTCTCAAAGTCTTGAATTGATTTGAAGCCCTTGGCAATGCAGGACAGAAACCCAACAACAACAAAGTAGGCAGGATTTTGATTTGATTATTTGTATTTTCTGAATTTAAAAAATACATGTTTGAGAACCTCATACTGCAGACCTGCTTTGTCAACAGCCACCTGTATTTGTGACAAGAGTGCAGGGTTTTAGAAACTAAAATTGTGTCCTGTGTAATCTGGTTTATCTACAGGGAATAACTGCTTATAACAGTTCTGAATTGTAGCATAAGATTTGTTCTTGGCCTTTCTGATGGACCTATGTCTAGATGTTAGCTGAGTCCTAACACTGGAGATGAGTTAGGACCAGATCTGCACTGATGCTAACATGGTAGTGAACGAAGAGGAGCAATCAGAATAAAATTAGGCTCTTTTAATCACTAGGAGTCATCCACGATAGGGAATTGTTCACGGTAGTCGGGAAAGTGATTCCATGACTAGTTCCCCTTCAGCCAATATTGCTACCAGCTAGTACAGATGCAACGTTGTCCACCCTGTTTTCTAGAATTTATTGAGATTTCTCAAGCCAATGTATCAATGTCTGGACACAGATGGATCCCAAAGTGCTTTTGCAAGGATGAAATGAGGACACACGGTTCAGCTGGTAGATCATAGTGACTAGAGGAGGGGAAACTGGGAAATAAACCATGTCTAGTGCTGTATCATCAGAGTGAAAAATCCTTTGCCCTGAGCCTGGGTTCAGATGGAGATTGTCTGTGTAAAATCCAGGTGTGACATCTGTGCTTGGAAGTCGGTCACCTTCTGTGTGAAGGCTTTGCAGTGTGCCTCCCTAATACTGTTACAATTTAGGAAGGGTAGTGGGGTAGTATGAAACTGTTGCTGCCTGCTGCAGTATGTCAGAGTTGCAGTTTGCTCTTTCATACTTTTTACCTTGTGCCAGATCCTCAGCTGATGTGACCTGGGATCAACCCATTGGCTTCAGTGGATTTACACCAGCTGAGGGACTGGGCCCTTCTCTTCAGGGGAGTTCCTGCTGGCTGTTTCTTACCCATCTCGCTTTCTGTCATTCACACCACATGCCAGACCTTTGGCAGCTACCAAATGATGTTTCTCCATTGACATCCCTATGGACATTGTAATCAGCTGAGGATCTGACCCTGGGTTATTTTTTAAAGAAAAACCATTGATTTGTGTAAGAACTTTTGTAATAAAAAATGTATATGACAAAAATAAACACTATATTTTAGAAGTTGCAGTTTATTCCTCCTCAGTTCCTTTCCAAAAGCCATGCAGGCAGACAAATTTGCACGTTGCTGATGACATTTTCCATGGATTACAGAAGTGTCTGCATTCTCAAAACTTGGTTCCCAGGCTGAAACACTATCAAGTGGCCTGTTTTAAGGAGAATGGTGGGTGTCCATCCAGGTTTCTACCCAAAACCAGCTTCCCAAAATCATTAGGCCCTTCCAGAAATACAGCCCATGCTACTGATGCCAGCAGGTCTCAGAAAATGTGGGCATGTAGTAAAATAGGAGTGCATCTGCCTCAAAAAAACACATAGACTTACTTTAATTTTATTTTTCAAGAAAAGATTGCATAAAAAATCTAACACTACATTTCCAAAACCATGTATGAAGTGCAGCACTGGTGACTACCCTTAGGAAAACTTCACTGATTCTACAAACAGCAGAAACCAATATGATTTTCTTAGTTACAGTAATTTAGCCAAACTCATTAAAACTCTTTTTCTTTTGGTCATTTGATGCTGAGTGAGGGCCTTATTACACAGTAATTTTAAGTGGCTTTTAAAGCTCTTAACCCTGGATCGGCTGTATCTTATCACTGCTTAAGTGGTGTGTTATTATTCATCTTAAAGTTATGCCACCCAAGAGCAGGATTTTCTCGAGTCTGCCTAATTTTGCTCCTATTCCATTAAGGTGTGGCCATTCCAGACTAGCTATTCTACCTAAGTTGAATATCCCAGGATGCAGTGAGCCCTCCTGAGTCAGGGCAAGGATGCTGGGATACAGTGGGGCTGGGGACAGTGCTTCTGCCCTGCTGCTTCTGCTGGGCAGAGCCAGGGCCACAGCCCTGGAGCACCCAGCAGTTGTGATGCCTCCCATACTGACTCACTGCTACAAATGCCTGGGCTGGACTCGGGCTGTGGTGCCTGCAGCCGGGTGGCAGGCTGGTGCTCACCCCTCCCACTGACCTGCAGTTGAACCTCCACCCAGCCCTCCACTCCTCTGCAGTGTATCCCCTGTCAGGACCCAGACACACACCACAGTGGAGCCAGGTGGCTGGAGCAGGGCAGAGCTCGGCAGCTACAGCGCAGCAGGTGGAGACCAGTTCTCACTGACCCTGCGCTCTGCCACGCTCTGCAGGGTCTGGCCCCTAGTTTCCCCCACCTGGCTCACCCAGCAGTGGTAGCGGTTGGCAGATACCTGCAGCCCTGAAGCCCCCCATAGCAGCTGTATGGCTCTGGGCACAGAGCGCTGGGTTCAGCGCTGCCCATCCAGGCTGGGGCTGCAGAGAGCAGGTGAGGCTGGACTTGGTCACAGCCACTACCCAAGCCCAGCAGGAGTGGGAAGTCCCATCCCTGCATGCCTCATCCGCCACCCCCCTGAAAGATTCCTGGACCACTGGGCCAGACCCTGCACAACCTGGTGGAGCATGGGGTCAGTGGGAACCAGCTTGGGCTGCTGCACTGCAGCCATCAAGCTCTGTCTTGCTCCAGCCACCCAGCCCTACCATAGCATTTGTCTAGGTCCTGGGGCCCTGATCTTTTTCTTTTTTCCCCCCTCCAGAACTCATCCCCACTCCCCCTGGCACTGCCACCACCTGAGCTCTGAGGAGGTCAATCCTGTTTGGAGCTCAGGCAGGGGCAGTGTGTGCGTGTGGAGAGGGGAGACCCTCCAAAGGAAAAAAGGATCAGGCCCCTCGGAGCTCAAGCAGTGAGCCGGTCCTGTTTCTAGCTCCTAGTTCTGACCCTGCTCACCAAGCCTGTAGTGACAAGTCACAGCTGTGTGAGTGAAGGACAGCCAGAGATAGTTTTTTTGTCTTAAGGTATGACTGCTCCACTAAGCAGAAGAACACTAAGCCGATTAATACTTGTTCAGCTTACAAAATAAGGTGTAACAAGGCCTAGTTCCAATGCTTCATCTGCACTTAAGGCTAAACTCATAATACCACCACCAGACCATAAAACCAGGGCTTGTCATCAGATGTTGCATGCTCTAGGGACTAGACTTTAAAAGGCGTGTGCCCCAAAACAGAAACCGTCAAAGACAGCAGGCTTCCTAACTGACACTCTTGCATTCTGAAGACCAATGATTCTTAATCAGGGTGCCATGAGATCCTTTTAAGGGTGCCACAGGGTGCTGTGCAGTATTAGCGCTGTTAGATGTGCAAACACATAGACACAATTTGTAAGATTAAACCCAGAGCTTTCAAATAGGAATCCAGTGTCAAAAAACATTCTGATTGGTTGTGGTCTCTCATCTGTTGAAGTGAATTCGGATTCATGAAAGCTTGTGCTCCCTCCTGCCCCCTTCTCTATTAGTTTATAAAGGTGCATATCTACCCTGCCTTTTTGAGTTTTTTGCAATAGAATTTCACTGTTTTTTTTGTATTAAAAATGAGTGAAAGCTAAGACCTGACATTTTCCCAGGTTGTCCTGACTCCAAAAAGATTGAGAACCACAACCATAGAGAGCCCCTTTCACATGTGAAGCAGACGCAAATTTCATAGATTTCATAAATTTCATGGAATTGTCAGACTGACCTAGGGAACAGCAGCCGTTAATCGCTGTGCCCAGCAGGTCACGAGCTTAACTGAATCAGCACAAAGAACTGAAGCATTTAATGCAAATAATTCTATAATAAATGTGTTTATAATTAAAAAGGATTATTTTCTACAATCAATTTGCTTAGGGCATTGTACGCAAGAAGCATTCTGGCTCTTAGAAGCCTTCCTTTATAAATCTAGCTATACATTTCCTCTGGCAACATCTGCAAAATGTGTTTCTTCCCCAGTCTCCAAGAACAGCTCATTTGCTTTGCCTGAGGAGTGGGCAGAGTAGGTTGTAATTTGTTTACAATGTCCATTCTCTAAATATCCAGGAAAAAATGTGCATTTAGAAGGGAGATGTCAGGTAGTGGTATAATATGATTCTTCTGCAGAAGCAGCTGACCTCAGTATTGTAACAGCAACTTTATCTTTGCCTGAGCTGAAACAGAATCTGTCACGGGCAGGATACGGCAGCAGACATTTGTGAGACAAGATAATTATATCCATGACAAAGCTCCATCCCACTCATGGAAATGGAGACATAGTCCCAGACAAACCTGTAGCAGCAGGAGGTAAAAGCCTGTTCACGATGCTCCCAATGTACAGGTTGGTGTTGTAGGCTAAAGCACAGGCAGATTTGTTCTGTTCACAGGCATCATGTCACCCTTGCAAACCACATGGCTCTGATATCTCTGCACAGAGGGAAGGGTCAAGATTGCTTTCAGACCCCTCTGCATGCACCTAGCCTGGGCTGGGTCTAGAGGTGTAAATGGGCAGCTATGCATGCCGTGTGGCAGTGGGGCATGGGACTGCCATTGTCACTGGGTAGCTGGTGATGGTGACAGCCAAGTCAGTGACTGCTCTTTCCTCCCCCACCACAAGTCAGAGCCTGGGGCTAGTGCCCTGGTTGACCTCCTCCCTTAGTTACCTCTTGCTTCAGGTGTAATTCAGAGTGGTCTCAGTGCTGTTATCATGCTGTTTCTATGGTCCCCAAAGCAGGGGAGACTAGCAGGCCATGCTGGCCTTCCCCTTCCCTGTGGGGAGTTGCTTAGCAGTCAGGTTCTGGCCAGGCTCTCAAAGGAAGCATACTGCAGCCTGGTTTCCCTGCAGGGCCCAAGCTGGTGGGCTGCCTCAGAGCATACCTCGCCCACATGCATATGTGTATTTGAATTCCTACACAGCCAGACTGCGCCTGGCAGAACGACAAGTTCCCAAGGTGCCTGAAGTTTGGCACTTGCCTGAGCAGCTCAGTGCCTGCCTCCTACCCAGGCCAATGTGAGGGGGTTGCAAATCAGGCACTGCTCTGCCTGCATCCTTAGAGCAGGTCCAACATGTACCAACAGGGCTGGGCTCTACACAAAATGGAGTTGTGGCCACTTTCAGAAGGCAGCTGGAAGAGGAAGTGGTGATGCTCACCTCTGATGCTCCAGCCAAGGGGTTAGAGCACACATTCAGGACACGGGAGGCCTCCATTTCCCTCTTCAAGGGGTTCAAGCCACATCTTTCACTTCCCAAGACTATCAGCCTTGGGCATCCTCTGTCCTTCCTGTTGAAGGCAAGTCACTGCACAGAAAGGAATGCAGGGTCTGTGGGAGCAGAAGGGCAGAGCACAAGAGAAAGCCGGCCTAGTGGTTAGGACATTCCCCAGGGACAGGGAGGTCCTGGTGTCTGGTATTTATGGTAAGGACCGTTTCTGTATTTTACCCTCCAGTCACTGCTGAATGTGAAGCATCATCTTAGGAGTGCCTAGAGGCCTTGGCCAGGCTAGAACCTTTTTAAATGCAGGGCTGATGATATTTCATAGATTTCATAGACATTAGGGCTGGAAGGGACCTCGGAAGATCATCGGGTCCAGCCCCCTGCCCCAGGGACAGCAAGTCAGCTAGGGTCAAAGGATCCCAGCAAGATAGGCGTCCAAATGTCTCTTAAAAGAGTCTAGAGTAGGTGCTTGCACCACCTCCGGTGGCAGTCTATTCCAGGTCTTGGGGGCTCAGATAGTAAAGAAGTTTTTCCTTATGTCCAGCCTGAAACGGTCTTGGAGGAGTTTGTGACTGTTTGACCTTGTCATCCCAGGGGTGCTCTGGTAAACAGGCGTTCCCCCAGATCCTGATGTGCACCCCTTATATACTTATAGGCAGCCACCAAGTCAACCCTGAGCCTGCGCTTTCCAGGCTGAAGAGTCCCATGGATCTCAGCCTCTCATCATAAGGCCTGTTTTTCCTGCCCTTAAAGAATGCGGTCTGCTCTTCCTTCAGGAAGCAACAGAAGTTTGTTTTTCATTTCATCCCTTGGTGGAACCAGCCTTGGGCCCTTTCTCTGCATTTGTGGAAGGATTCGTCTTATCCCAAGACTGCAGTACACTGTACTTCTATGAGAGCACTTTCACCATTCTGGGTATAAAAATTCCCCAAGTTGGATAAATTGACACGGTCCATGAGAAGCTGAAGCAAAATAACCAAACTGAATTCCAAATAACCCAAGTTGTTGTTTTTTTTAATCCTTGCTTCCTCATTATCAGAACAAGCTCCAAGTAGAGTCATTAAAAGAGCTAATTAACCCTGTTGCCATCTTGAATCTAAAAGTCTTCTACATTTCCCCAATTAGACTTTCCCCAGTAGCAGTTATGGACCTTCAATCAAAAACTTGGTATCGATCATCCTCAACCCATAATCTCTGGGGGATTAATTAGCCCAGAAACTTGGGTACGTTTTTTATCACTTTTAATGACTGGCTGTTCACAGAACTTGCAGAAGAGAGCAATAAAAGGCTACATCAGATCCCGGGAGATTTCGTGCGTGGGCGCCAGGGGTCTGAGTCACTCTGAAGCAAACACATAACAGCAAATAAAAGAAATGTGCTCTGTCTGCCAAATGCTGTTTCTGCTTCTTTGGTTTTTCATTAGCTCTTATTTTTGGGCACAATCTGGAGCCTTTCCAGAGTCCCAGATCCCAAAAGCCTTGCTTAAGACAAAATTGTAAAATTTTCAAACAGATGCATCTTGTTACAGGGCAATGTTAAAGTGCCTGAGGCCCAAAGTCTTCTGAATCCAGCCCTGCACATAGTCCCAGCTGAACTCAATTGGTGTTGCTTCTGAAAATCAGGTTATTCAGAGGTACTGAAATATGGCCCTAAAAGCCTTTTTTGTAGATGCCCCACTGCTCAATAAATAAGAAAACAGGCAGAAATTAACTTATTCCACAGCAGAAGTTTTGTTTTCTCTGCTGAAGGTTCAGAGGCATGTTTTCAATCCTTCTGCTTGCTTTGCATGTCATCAATTAAGCAAGTATCTGCTACGAGGAGAAAACATGCTTCACTCTTGCAGAGAACAGATGACTCTGTAGTGGAGCGATTCAGCTGCTGTTTTCCAGGACCTTGAAACAAACCTGTGAACAAAGACCCTTGGGGTAGAGATTTGTGAGGTTTCATTCATCTTCACTCCAGTGAACCCTTTCCCCTTCCACAGATTCTAAAGGGAGAAGGGACCAATTGATCATTTTGTTGGACCACCTGCACAACTCATCAGAGAACTCCTCCCAGTGATT